TGGAGGTCTGTATGGTATTTTATTAGTGCAAGGGATGAGAACATTATATATCTCAATCTTGTTTTATCAATATGCCCTGCTATTTTGAAATTGTATTAAGTATGTTTATATTTCTTGCAGCTGATACCCTTCTGCTTACTCGGTAACATCAATTATAACAAATTTTGATATTACTATATTTGTTAATGAAGTCCTGCTTGATTACCCAACACCAATCTTCTAGGTTCAAGGAAAAAACTCAAGTTAAAAATTCCTTTTTTCTTTTTCAATGCAATTGAAACTCAAATGTCAAAGAAACTGGTGCTAAGGTGTCTGAGCTTAGATCCTTGCATTTCTATTTCCATTTGCAGCATGACTCTGACATGTTAATACTATACTTCCCTAGTTCCAACCTCTGACAAGACTGCAGGTTAATTAGGTACTTGTAAGACAGTTCAAGACCCTTACATTAGCTGATGCAAAGCATGAATTATATTAGTCATCTGCTCTGTGAGGGAATGGTACTGGATAATGGAGCACATGAAGGAGAAAAGAACATTTATACTAACTTAAGAGTTCTCTAAGGCATCCCAGTCTTCTATTTTGTGGTAATATTCTCTCTGCTGGATATCTAAGAAACTGTTTTATGCATAAAAAGAAAAAGCAAGCCTTCTGAGAATGTGCTGATGCATTACGATGCGGCCCTCTCTGCAACACTGAAGCCTGCAGCTATCAACTCTCCCACTGGGAAAGCAGGGGTTCAGAGTGGTCCAGGGAGCAGCTGCTATAGAGGGAAAATTTACAAGAAAAGGGAACAGTTTAAGTGTAACTAGCAGAAATCAAGGGACAGCAGCCGCAGGTCAGAGGGTAAATTTTAAAAGGAGGCCTCCCAGGAGAGCACAGAGAAGGGATGTGATTAGTTCTGGAAAGAAAAATGCTTTCTTGATTTATTTTAAAAATTAATTTGATGGCTATGTGCTGATAAGAAAACACAAGCGAGCACCTGCCACTTCTATTATGCTAGATAGGGCCAGTCACCACCTCTATTCTACTGTACTAATAGGACCTTTGTTATCTTTCAGGAAGAGGATTTTGAAGGTAATAGATTCCACACCAGCAGTAGGTTCAAAGCTACAGATTAGCTGGAGAGCCTCTCCCTCAGATCTAGGTTTGTTTCCCTGATCTCAGCAGGCTTGAAATTGCCTGTGGCCATATTTCTGCCCCCTCCCCCTCTCCAAAACCAATTTGAATAGGAAATGAAATGTGGCTCCAGAGAGACAATGGTTTACTGTAAAGTTTTTGCTGCACTGCATGTTGTTAAAAATCTGAGAACATATGTAACCAAGCTAATCTATAATGAAACACTATAAAGAACACCCAGGTGGGCAACACAATATTAGAGGCTAATTGAAGTAACCAATATTTCTCTATAGAATTTAGGACTGTGCTCTTCAGAGGACGAAAAGGCATTTCCTCACCTGTATATCTACTTCCTCACAGAAGAATAAACACAAATTCTCAATACAAACCACTATAACAACTAAATTTACTACTGCTGACCTTTCCTAATATATGTACGTAGGAGACACAGAGAAAAAGAGGCAGTATCTAAAGAATAGATTTTTAGACCTAACTTACCAATCAATTTCTGACCTTGGACATATTGTACTACTGGCATTTTTTCCAAGTGCATAATATGGATCAATTCTCTAATGAAACTAGATTATCTTGTAGTTCTTAAGAGAAACAACCCCTTTTTGTTTTGTTTCTGATAAAGTATTTCAAAGGGATAACTGCAGAAAGCTCTTAAAGCAAGCTTACAATAAATACTAAGCCTCATTTGCACAATTCTGCTCAAAGGAAACTTGGTCATAAATGCTGACAAAGCATATATTCTTCCTGAAAAATGTGCACTCCCAGTGACAGGGTTAATGATGTTTGAGCAGCCTCTCACCCTGACCTGCCCCTCCACATATTCCAGCTTTAATGCACTTGCATGATTTCACCCTGCCCCCAGAGCAGAGGGTGGGGAGGAAAGTGGCCTCCACGTCCAGTTATTTTCTACATGGTTGAACTCCCTGGTGCCAGGTTCAGTGCCTTACTGCAGAATGGAATGCATTAAGAGTTCAGCGTGCAAATCCCATGAGGGATGGAATGGTTTATTTGCCAAGGGTTAAGGCAAAATGACAGCTTTCTTTCTCCTCTAGTCTTTTGCAGAATAATATTTCCAAGCCTGAAATTATGAACGAGTGTTCTCCTCTCCCCCACCCCAAATGTGGTAGTGAACTGTAGAATTGCCTGGAGCATTCAGACCCATGTAAAGTAATAATTCTATTTTATACCAGTTTGCAGAACCAGATACAGTTTTTTCTTAATCTTTTACATCATCACAATTCTTAATACAGCACATATATATCACTTGATCTAATACATTCTGCTGCAGAATTTCCTTCTCAAATACTACTGAACTGGAACTCACTATAGGCTACCAAGGCCTGGTAAGTGGCTTTCTTTTATTTATTTCTAAGTTTCTGACCTTTTTTTCCCCTCAGCTGAGAGGTGGGGAGGGAAGGGGGCACTTTTTTTTCTGTTTGTAACTGGAGGGAAGTTCGCATGTTGGGTTCCCTATCGGAGCAGTTCGTAAGCTGAATTGTTCGCAAGTAGGGCAGTTCGTAAGTCGAGGGGTGACTGTACTTTCTGACATAACTGCATTTTTCATATTAGAAATTAATTAATCTAAGTTCTTTATATTCTGTTTTAGGAATGTACCAGAAGGCAGAGGGGAATCTGGAATTACATCATATTAGAGTATAGTTGTACTACTTCAGGGCTCATACTTCTACATACCAATAAATAAATAAATAAATAAATAAAAATTCCACAAAGAAAATTAGATGCCAGTTCCAGTCCCCTGTGCAACCTGAAGAAAAATACCTAGGCAGATGTTTTATTATCTTTGGGAGAATTAACTTTAGGATTGCAGGCATTCATCTCTTAGAATAGTAGTGAAGAACTCGTAGCCATCTAGATCCAACTACATTTCAGGTCCTATAATCATCAGAACTACAGTCTAACACCACTTTGAGGGCTACATATTTCTCAGCCCTATGTTTGGGGGTGGGGGAATCAAACGGACCAGGAGCCTTTTGACAGTGTTCTCTAGACTAAGCTTCAATCTGTTCACCCTCACTCAGTCCATCAGATACAATTTTTAAAAATGAAACAATTTCATTGGATCTATATACAAATGAGAAATAGAGTTGGTGTCATCTTAGGGAACCTCCAAATTCTCCTGGAGATTTCATGTATTATGTTAAATAATACAGGAGAGAGGACAGAACCAGAATGTCGCCGAAGGATAGTGGTCAAGGTGTTGAATAGGTCTCCTGAACCACCTCTGAGTTTAACTCAACCAAAGCTGTTGTGAAACAGTGAGTCAAAGCTCCATCCCAGAGAGGATGTTCAGGATGAGGCTATGGTTGAGGGCATCAAAAGCCACTGAGAGGCCAAGCAGAAAGCACAGGAGCACTCTCCTTATCTAGCTCCTCATACAAATAATCAATCAAAGGAACAAAAGTCTTTTCTGTTCCATAATGGATCTGACAGTGAAATGGATATAAAAGAAGCAGTCATAAAACATTTGCTGAACCGCCATTTTAAACCTATTGTACTGGACAATTCCCAGCCAATCTCCAGTATTCCTTTCATGGCTGTCATCTCTAAACATTCCTGGAGGACATTATCCTTGGAACTGAAATTCTACCACTCATTCCAGCAACTGGAGACTGACCAGTAATTATCCAATACCATGGAGTTAAGTGGGACTTTTCCAGCAAAAGTCTCACAGTTGCTTCTTTCAGACATGCTGGAAACCCACCTTATTGCAATGAGGTGTTTACCACTTCTCTTACCAATTCGGCCAATACTCTGACCGCTTTTATGGACCAGGAAGACCAAGAGTGCAACATGCACAGCACCTCTCATCTCTCCAAGAAACCTATTTGTATCTTTGAACCAAACAAACTGAAAAATATCCACTATTACTAGACAAGCAACAATAAAGCTAATCTGGATTTGGGCCTGGATCAACTACAGCATTGTAGTCAAAGCAGATCCAAGAGATTTTAGCTAAAGTGTTGTTCAAACTGTTCACAGTAGGCAGACAAATGGTCTAAATTGTCTTCTCAGGGGCCAGACCGGAACAGGTTCTTGACTAATCAAGAAAGCTCATTTACACAACTCTGGGCAGAAGCAATGCTGACAGAGAAGAATTGCAACTATGGAAGAAGCCTTTTCACAACAGGAAAATCCCACAGGCAAACACTTAAGAAACCAGTCAGATCCACCAGTTTTCTGGGGTGAAGCACCTTTATCAGTCTATGCATAAGCTTCATGCTCCCGTGAATCTAACCCTCTAGGGGTCTACACATGACAATAGAATTACAGAAAGTTCCTCCACATCCAGATCATCCAGGCAGCACAGAAAACTAGATCTAGAATCTGCCTTTCAGCATCAGTGGGGCCAGACATCAGCTGCAAGGGACATGTGGCTGTTATGGAGGAAATAAAGTCCTTGGAAAAAGGAAGGTTAGCATAGATGTAGACATCCCTCAGCATAACAATTCAAAAAGAATCCATCACCATCCTGAGTCCAATTCTGTAAGCTCAAAAAGAGATACCACTGAGCAACAGTAGGTGTAGCAAACCAACAGAATCCTCATTCTGTCCTAGGTACCCACTTTTAGATATACACATTAGTAAATCAGAAGTCATTATGTCCCCTACTTTAGTAATAAACATGGAAGTTTGAGCTCATTACAGAAGGCTTTAAGTCTGTAAATAGTATTTGAAGGTTGGTTAATGAAGCTCATTTAAGATCCTCAATTCACCAGCAAATTTCATCAAAATAAATAACATTAAGAAAGCAGAATTATAGAGGCTAAGTGATAGATTTGTTCTAGTTTCTTAATTTTTAACTTATCCACTAATCTACTATAGTAACACTTGTCTTGGAAACTTACCTTTTTGGAGACAGTGGAGACATTCAAGCCGAATCTCTGAGCCCTCTCCTTCAATTTGTCTATATTTACCTAGAAAATTTATACTGTTATCAACCTAAAGACAATAAGCATCTATGCCTAGAAAAACAAGAGACTTAAAATTGGGCACCTGTACGCATTAAACTACTATACCCTAATTAAAAATGCCTCACTGAATCAACACTGCAATAATCCTTTTTTGGTAATAACATCGTGAAAGTAGAACAAAAAGATCTGCATTCAAGATACAGTTGTGTGGCAAATTACTTCTAAGTATGGCTTCTGTTAATGTCTGTGCAGAATTATCCTTTTTTATTTCTTTTAAGAAGCACTGGCAATAGCAAAAGGAAAGGAATCATGACATTTATTTCTAACTCTCCCAGTAATTTTCATTCCAAATGAAATTTTTAAGTCACCTATTATATACAAATATATATATATGCTACCTAACTTCAAGACAATAAATATGAAAAAACTCTAGAATCAAAGGGAACAATCTGCATAAAAACTTCCTGTAAATGTTGTATTTAAGAAAGCATGGAGCTAAGAACCAGTTTAAACATGAGGACAATTTTTGAGTATTTTCTCTGAAGCAAAAGATGACATCTACTTTGGGAAGTAGTGAGCACTCAGGCACTGGAAGCATTTAAGAGAAAATTAGGTAGCTGTCAAGTATACTTTGATTTGGCGTTCTGCATTGAGCAGGGAGCTGGATCTTTAAGTGCTTTACAGGCCCCTTCTAACTCCATGATTTTATGATTCTATCTTGAGGAATTTCTAGTTTTTGTGCAAAACAGCCACCCTTTCCCCTTTGTCATTCAAGTACTACCTTGATAAATTATTCTAACACACAATACTCTACAGATTGACTCCTTCAGAGTAACAGAAACAGTCACTTTAAGGATGTGACCAGCAGCACAACCTTCCCTTTCTCTTCTAAATGGAGAAGGGGGTGGGGTGGATTATCACAGTACACAAACCAGTAATCATGCAAATAGTTTCCTTTAAAGTGGCACTTCATGTAATCCTAAAGTTATCAATAAATTTATATTGACAAAGTTATCTCAGTATTACCCATTTCCTTTAAACTACTTGAAGCAACATTCAACATCCCTAATGGAGGAATATTTGGCAATTACTAAACAACTGTATACTGTAAAGGTTTATATAGTGGTGGCCCACACGTTTAATGCATTCCTATGGGCAAAAAACTCACCGTTCTGCGAAAATCCTCCGGTAAGTGAGGAATGGGTGAGAAAACAATACGGGCAGCCATTTTTTTTTACCTGGCGGCCTACGGGCAGCCATTTTTTTTACCTGGCGGCCATTTTGGAACCGCCGATCAGCTGTTAGGAAAACATCGCTATGCGAAAATCGGTAAGCGAAACAGCTTACCGATCGTCGTGAAGCGATGTTTTACCATTTAAAACATCGCAATGCAATCACAAAAACGATCACAAAAAAACATCGCGGATTCGTCGTTAAACGGGGCGCCTGTTATGCGGGGCACCACTGTACTATGGAAGAACCCAAGAATATTTGGTTGGAATCTATTTCCTAATATTGAATAAGCAACACTAACATTCCCTCTTCTAGCTCTTGGAGAAACACTGACCCATCAGCAGGGCATCTAGTTGTTTACTTACAACACTGTTGTCAACAACTTATAAACGAATATAAGCAAATCATTCTACAGTATGAGACAATTTCTTGCAGATTAATAAACACAAGGAGTCCTATTTCTATGCCAGAGAGCTTGGAATCTAAATTTTGAAAATTACGCAGATTTAACAGGAATAAATATACAAAAGTCCACATATTGAGACTTCATTTGGTTGAGGTTTGAAGGGTTAAGGCAAAAGCATTAAGGAAGTGGACAGAATCTAGAGCATATAGGTAAGGAATAAGGCACAGAGACATACAAAGGAAGGTAAGATGTTTTTGGTAGTTGAAATGGAGAAAAGAAAGTCATAAGCAAAGATTACGCATTTGTTCATGTTGTGGAAAGTGAAGGGATTTGAAAAAGAGAACAAAACATGAATTCTGAGAAATGTTTTTTTTAAAGGTATTATTCTGACAGGAACTTTCTGGATAGATCAAAGGCATGATATAGAAAAATCAGATATTAGCAATAATTAATGTAGGAAACAGTTGAAACATGAACAAACTTTTTGAAGAAACAAAAATTATCAGGTTTGGAAAACATGGTACAGGCAGAAGCAATATGAATTTAGTAACTTAAAAAAATGAGGAACAAAGAGGTCGAAGGAATAAAGATAAAGCCAGGGACCTCTGCACAGCTTAACATCTGTCAGTTAGAACTACAGAATCTATAGCTGTGACATACCATATTTTTCCGTGTATCATAGAATCATAGAAAAGTGAAGTTGGAAGGGGCCTATAAGGCCATCAAGTACAACCCCCTGCTCAGTTCAGGAATACAATCAAAGCATATCTGCCAGGTGATTATCTAAGTTTTTCTTGAATGCCTCCAGTGTATAAGATGCTACTTTCCCCTAAAATCATTACACAAAAAATTTAGGGGCATCTTTTACACGGAAGTAAGCTGGGATAGCTGAGGAGAGAACAAAATGGCCTGTACCTTGCCTCTGTAAACAGGTTTCCTTCAGCCACAAGGCTTAGCTTCCTACAGTCAGGAGGCATCGTTTCCTCCAATCATGAGCCTTATGGAACTGACATCAGCTGATGCTGAACAAACCAATTGGAATACACCTAGTTGGAGGTGGAGCCTGTAAGTTCATATTCAACAGGGACTCTGTTCTCAGCCCAGAGGCTGAATCCTCAAAGCTAAGTTTTCTTAATTTTTGGGTTAGAAAAGTGTGTGTTTGGATGTCTTATAAGTGCAAGGGGGGTGGAGATCTGTATCCGCGGCCCAGTTCCGGCAAGCCCACAGACCAGCACCAGGCTGCGGTCTGGGGGTTGACAATCCCCGAGATAGAGAGCATCATATACATGAAATGTAAATCTTGTCTTTTATGCTGTTAGGAATCAAATAATTGCATTAAGTAAAGAAAGGAATAAAATTTTGATGATGTGTAAATTAAATAATTACCTGGATCTATGTTTATTGTTAAATTTGAGGTCCTATTCACTGAAGACCACAGTTTTCACACTAGTCTTTCAATTTGTCTGTTTGTGGGAATGGGATCCATCAGAATGTCTTAATTACATAATTAACATTTTAAAATGCAGTCAGCTACAAATGTAGGAAAAATAGTTACTTACTGAAGTCTTACTTTCTGCTAAGAGACCTGAAATAGGAAAAAGAACATTTTGAATTACAAATTCAAATTGTTTGAGAGTTGAGTGAAAAAGGTAGTGGAAGCAAAATTGATGGAATGTGCCTCATAACCATAAAATCTACCCTGAAAATTCCATTCATATATAAAAAAATTCACTGGAAAACATAACTTAAATTCTAATTTAATTGAAGGAAACAAAAGAAAGGAAAGTGTTCTGCCATTTCCTCCCTTCTGCAGCCATTTGCAACTCCACAAAAACACCACTAGGGGACTGGAACACTCTTCTGAATGAAGAAGATGGCTGCTGGAGGGAGGTGGGGGATATACCTCCCTGTGGCTATAACCCTATAGTAAGTTCTCTGGCAATTCCACTGAATTTGGTGAATTCTACAAAATAGAAATTTCTTTAGCCCTGAAGTAGGAAATTTGCACTAGACGCACAGGTTTGAATATTAAATTTCCACAAATAGAACTCCTACCACAGAGTGCCTCTATGGCCTCAAGTGGTGAGATGATTTTTGCAAATTCTCATTTCTTGTGGAACTTGTAATCTTCTGGAATTTGCTCCAAGTATTTAAGCAAAACGAGAGGCTTTTTTCCTCACAAGTGTTTTTAATCATATGATGAGCTGCAGAGCTTTACGAATCTGGTAGCTTTCTGAGATGCACCCTTTACAGAGCATAATGGACACAGAGACAAATGTCTTGCAGCTCAACATAGAGCTTAGCCCTCCTAGCTACTTCCTTTATTTTCTCAGGGAGTCATCATGTCCCAAACAAGACTGTTATTTCTCAGCTGTAAATAATTTTAATCACCTGAGAGGATTTTGATTTTTTGGTAACACCTCCCCCCCCCCAATTCCAGCTGGGAGAAATTCCTGCAGACATCTAGGGACTACAGTCCAAAAATATGAAAGTCCTACACAGGATAGATTTGATTTAAATCAATTTAAATAAACAATCAATTTAAATAAATCAAACAATTTAAATAAACAAATGAGATTTTTCTGAGAATTTAAATCTAAAAAAATGATTTTTCAATTTTAAATTGTGATTTTTTGATTTTTAAAAAATCATTTATTTTTATCCACCCTGGTCCTATGTCTGGATGTGGGGGGGAGGAATCAAGGAAAATCACTTCACCTCCCGATTCTATCAGTGGGAATACCTAATGGATACAGACCCTTCTGTTCCTGGAAGAGCAGCATAAGATCAAAGCTATGATGTTTTCCAATACATTTTCCTTAATTCAAGCATTATTTCTGAGACTTTGATTTCTATTTTAGCTTCAGACTCCTTTGAGAAGAACTCCTTTGTATTCTTTTTTCTTCTTCCTGGGATATGTCTTTTATGTCTTTTCATGTTTCTGTGCAAGTTGCAAAAAAGCATGTAGAAGAGTGACAAAAATCCTATTGTGCACTTATGCAAACAGTGCAACTTTTGAACTTAAATTGCAAATCCTATTAAGATGAGCCAATAAAGTCAATAGAGAAGATGATGGGATTTGGAGGCCAACAACATCTGAAGTGCCGTATGTTCCCCATCAACAAAATTTAAAAAGCAGGTTTTTCACAAAAGACAGTACTTTGAATTTCTTGATGTTGCTGCTATATGAAACCCAAAGGTGAATAAATTTTATCAGATGCACTACTGTAAAGACAGCATCACATTCAGAATTTAACATTACTATTTAAATGAAGATACGTTGGATTTTCAATGGTTTGGTGAACAGCATGTATGACTTTATGTCCAAATCTTGTCAGGATTTATCATGTACCTTTATCTATAAGCCCAGTTACATTAACCTATGTGCATGAAAGCTTAAGTTCCATAGAATGAAACTTGCATACATGCAATGCTTTCAGTTCTAACTATTAGTTACAATTTTAAAAACCTAGTATAACAGTCAGGGTTAGACTGTAGGTATTATTAGCAATATATAAAAGTTCAAAAATACAGTGCCACTTCAGTTCCAGTTCTATCTTAACAAACAGCCACAATCTTATTTTAACAAGATGATTGGAATAAAAGAGGTGAAATCATTTATGGGAAGGGAAACATGATGGATAATTTTTCCACGTCATACTGACATACCTTTAGCTGAAGCTGTAGACATACCAAACCTGTGGGAAAGACAGCAACCCTAGTTAGAAAGTTTTGAGTTCAGGATCTAAGCTATGACACAGAACAGAAAACAGTCTCAATACAAGCTAAGTTATGATTTACCTTGTAAATACATCAAGGAAAATCTGGAACACTTGTCTGGACTTTGAACAAGATTAGCAAATAATGACAGATGCAAACAGCACTTTTGTTGTTCACAATACCTTCCTCAGCACAGTAGAACAGGCAGTCCAACAAAGATGCTCTTGTGGTTTAATACTTGCTATTCTGTATTCTTTAATTACTGAATTTTACATCTTACAAGTCTTTAAGGTACTCATCAAACACATATCAAGTATGTTATCAGTTACTGCCAGAATTAAAGAAGCGTTCCATGTAACATGTTTTGCTCAGTTGTTATCCTTTTACTCAGTTCAATAATATCCATGACATTCATTGATACCAACTACAGAACATCATGTAATCAATGACAAACATAATTATTTCTAGATCTGCTGGGCATCAAAGGCTGTAAAGGGAACTGAAATTGCTACTCATCTTCCTTGTATTTTAGAGGAATTTTTCTATGAATGGACCGTGTCCTAACTGGAGTAGGACATTACAACAGCAGCCACTATGGGCTTTTACATAATTAAAAAATGTTGCTCCCAAAATATCATATTTTCCTTTATGTCTTGTTAACCAATTTGAGGCTGCTTGACTTTAACTCCCATCAGAGTCAAAGATAAAAAGAGGTTACTTATCTGTAACCAAGTTCTTTGAGTGGTCCTCTGTGAATTCACACATATGGGGTATTGTCTGCGCCTGCGCTGACTCTCTCAGAAGATTCTAGAGCTAAAAGTAACAATTTTATGGTGTGATCCTCCACGAGGTATATGCTCCTCCCACCCACTATCTTCCCCAGTTCCTGAATTTTATCCGCCGGGTATGAAGGAAAGAATTAATTAATTATATAATCAACCCATGACAGATAGAGGGGAAGGATGGGCGGGTTGTGTGAATTCACAGAGGACCACTCTTTAGAAGCAGCCTCAGCAGTGTGTTGCGCCGCAATCCTCTGATATTTGGCAAGAGAAATGGCTTGCGAATGGATGTTGATGAGATCAAATCTCATGGGTTCAGGAGATGAGTCAAAAAGAGGAAGGACTTGATTCCAAAGATGACGTGACAGGACAGCTCTGCCAAATGCAGCATCTTGGCGTGCTCCGACGTCCAGGCGGTAGTGCTTGACAAACATGGACGGTGTGGACCACATAGCGGCACGACAGATGTCAGGAACCTCGGTGCCACATTGAAAGGCAGCAGAGGTGGACAGCGCCCTGGTAGAATGAGCCGTCAGATGTTCTGGAGGGGATTTCCCCGACAGGCTGTAATCAAGGGAGATAATCTGTACAATCCAACGTGCTATGGATTGAGAGGAGGCTGGGGCCCCTTTGTGTGGGCCGTGAAAGCAAAGAAAAAGTTTATTGGACTTCCTAAAAGCTTTTGTCCTTTCAACGTAGAAAGTCAGGGCACGTCTGACATCGAGATTATGGAGATGGCATCCGCAGACGAGGGGTGTTCAGTGTCGAGATTCAGGGCTTGTACCATTCGGAAAATAAGCGTAGAATAGGAGGAGAAATCATCCGAGGAGGACAAAGCATGGCTGCCCTTCGTATCTGGGACTGGAGGGGGAAGTGAAACTGGATAAAGGAAGGATTGGCTCAAAGACTGGCGAGCTCACTAGCCCGTTTGGCTGATGTGTTTGCAACAAGGAAGGCCGATTTAAGGGTCAGTAATTTGAGGTCGATGGATGCCATGGGCTCAAATGGAGGCCGCATCAAGGCATTGAGAACCAGCTGCAGTGATCACTGGGGGATGATACGTTGTTGAGGAGGGCGAATGTTGTTGAGCCCTTTGAGGAACTTTTTGACAGTTGGGTGAGAAAACAACTTGGAGGAGGGAGAATCATCCGGCTGGTGAGCCATAATGGCTGAAAGATAAACCTTTAATGTGGACTGGGAAAGGCCGAAACTGAAAAGATGCAGGAGATAATCGAGCAGAGTCTTCAAAGAGACAGGTATGGCAGGTACGTTATTGTCATGAGTATATTTTAGAAAAGACTTCCATTTATTTTCATATAGGAGGTTAGTGGAAGGTTTTCAGGGCTCGAAGAAGAACCTGCACCACATCGGGAGTATCCTCCATGCCGCAAGACTGAGAGAGGTGACGTCTGGGTGAAGAACGAGGCCGTGGTTGAGCGAGAGGAGATCTGGGCGGAGAGGAAGGTGGAGCATGTCTGACGACATCGAGACCAGGTGAGTGAACGATGGCTGGCACGGCCAGTACGGGGCTATCAGGATTGCGTTGGCTCCGTCGTGTTGGAGACGGAAGATTACTCTCTGGATTAGAGGCAGAGGGGGAAATACGTAAAGGAGATCTCGAGACCAGTCCATCAGGAATGCGTCTCCCAGAGAGTTGGTGTCTCTGGAGCAGAATCGGGGACATTTCTTGTTGGCATCGACTGCAAAGAGGTCTAGTGAGGGAGTGCCCCATTGTCGGCACAGCCGCTGAAAAATGACATTGTTCAGAGTCCATTCGTGTGTCCTCGTTGGTAGCCAACTGAGCCAGTCTGCCAAGGTGTTGTCGTCGGTGGAGATGTGGATGGCAATAGGGAAAACATGGTGGGAATAGCACCACTCCCAGAGGTCGACAACCGTCCGAAAGTGCGATTTTATTCGCACAGGTCATACACCTCTTAAAAGGAGACGGTGAGGCCATAAGCAAAGAACTGGGGGGGGAGGGGAAAGGGAAGGGAATAAAAAGACTGCGGAAAGCCGATTAGGCAAACAAAAGACGCGGAGGATCACTAAGTAGATAATTTAAAGTAAAGATAAACAAACAAAAGCTCAAAGGAGCCTAGAAAACTAGCCAAAAGGCAAATAGTGAAGCGCTCAATCTTTCCTGAGAACCATTCAGCTCGGCAGGGAAAAAAGGAACTGGGGAAGATGGTGGGTGGGAGGAGCATATACCTCGTGGAGGATCACACCATAAAATTGTTACTTTTAGCTCTAGAATCTTCCGAGAGAGTCAGCGCAGGCGGACAATATCCCATATGTGTGCATTCACAGAGGCCACGAAAAAGAATCTAAATTCTAATCCAACAACATCTGAAGTGCAACTGGTAACCCACACTTGACTTAGATGAAAGATCTTCTAGTAATATATATGAAATTGGTATCAGTAACGTGAAAAAAGCAAAGTGTTACTTAAGGTACCCAAAATGTTTGTAGTGCCCATCTAAGCATCTCTGCAAAGTGGTAGTCATACGTTGTTAATCAGAATTCAGACCACTGATGTTTTCTATCATATTTACCCGATAAACTACTACACAACAGCTAGAAGCAGCATCAATAATAAACACTTATCTGAATCATGAATAAGCAGCAGGAAAGAATGGCAGTATTTCAATGACAGACTTACCGAGCTGCTCGTGCAGCTTTTTTACTCTCCAAACTCACAGGAACATTGAATCTCTCTGCCCGTTTTTGCATTCTCTGAAACAGAAGTTAAAGCAGACAAACATAAACCTAATGTAGACATAAAAGAAAAATGAATTTACTTTCAAATATAAGATCTGCAGTATGCTTCAGCCTTCCACCATCCATTGAAGGGGTAACTCCCCCCCCCCAAGTGGTAACATTTCTGGATATTTCAAGATTCAGAAAATAATTATTGGAATCAGAAAAGATTCCAATGGCAGAAACTCAACAAGGCCAGCTTCAAGTAGCAGAAAGGAAAATTTGGGTTCTACTGGAAATATAATCTCATACAGGACAGCGAAGGAATGTTAGCATATTCTTTCTCTTTTGTCTGTACTCTGCCTTAAACTGAAGCAAAACAGAAATGCTATTGGAGCGAGGACAGAAAAAGTATCTCTCTGATTCATGGAATCCAAGCAGAAACCCACATTACTTAGTTGTTGTATAACATGGGTGAATAAAGTGCAGCTAGGGGATTACTTGTAGACCCAATGCTGTTTTATAACCTCTCTGGATCTCCCATGTCCCCTAACGTTTTTTGAGGTGGTGGTCAGAAATGTATTTCTGGGCCCCCAGTATGACAATCCTACATTTAAAAAAATACTCTCACGGACAATGTTTTGCACACAAACTCCAAAAACCAAAACAAGAAGACAACTTCTGATCAATTACCATTTCAATTTTATTTTATTTTTTGTGGGCTGGTGAAATCTGCAGTGGCCCTCTGAAGCCTCGAAACTTGCTGACTAGCTTTACTTAGGAGCTTACTTAGAGATTCTCTTCTGACTCAGCAGAGTAACAGCTGGCTAGTAATAAAAATCAAGCAACTGGGTCCTTCAAAACCCAAACTAGTTTTTGTATTGAAGAATGAGAATTCTATTAATATTAACACAGGTTTAGGATGTTGTGCACCTTACTAAATCTGTATTTCTTCTCCAGACATGCTCCAGTTCTGTTATATAGTGTAACTGGAATAGGTTCTAAGATAGAATGAGAAACTCTACATCATCCTTTCCCAACCCTATCAGTCCCAGCCCACATGGCCAATGGTCACAGATGATAGAAGCTGCAATACAAAACATTACACGGAGATGGCACTGGGTTTGGAAAGAGTGCCACATTTTCTTCTAGTATGTCTGCTTCTGTTCAAAATTCTGCTTCCTCACCAACCTCTTGATATGGCACTAATATAGTCAAATGTGCCCATTAATCACAGGGTGTGCAAAGGATCACCCAGGCGATATATGTGGCCCCTCAGACTCCCTCCCTCATTTAAAAAGGACCACTGTGGTTGGTATTACGGGTGGGCCAAGCCCTTTTAAATTCAGGAATGGACATGTTGACCTTGGACCTTTGAAAGCTGACCACCGAAAAGTTGCATTTGAAAGATCTCTTGGACAACTTTTTACAAATCAAATAATTTTTCATAGAACACACTATTCAAAATAATTGGTGACCTAAAATCTAAGGTGATCATAAAGGGGAATGTAGTGTATTTTGGGGAAGAAACAACTTGATGAAATGTGCAGAAGGCAAAAATATAAAACATTTCAGAATAAAAAGGAAGAGAATTCTTAATAACTGTAAAACTTTATGAAGACAGCAGCATATTTGGACTAGTAAATAAAATGCTTCTTTCAACAACATATTGGTAACCAGTGAGACTCATTAACACATTTGCTGGACAAGTCATCCCAGTCTGAAAAAGACTCCCAGACAAACAAAACAAAAGCAAAAAATAGACCTGTGCATCTGATTGTTTCCTCTTTTGATTTCTAGATTTTGTTTTAGTTATTGCCCCCAGCCCTAACAAAATTGCTAATCCTACTGCATGCATTAAAACTGCTTATTCTGTATCATTTCTTTTCATTAGGCCAATACAGTTTTTCTGTCTGCAGAAAATAAATCTAAATTCTTTCAGCCAGTGGCACTTCAAGATATAGCCTAATAGCAACTAATACGACCATTAACCAGTTCTACTGCCATGGCCTGAACAATGGCAGGGAGAATAAAATGCTGGTATACTGAGAAGGTTACCATCATACATCAGGTCAACATGTCAAATGAACCTAGAAAGCATTCATTGTGTGGTTCAAAAAATTTGTACAACATCAGTGTATTTTAAAAAACTAGAGCTTGGCAGAGTTGCGAATCTCAAGTAGAGAAAGTGTGAAAGAGGACGTAAGTAAAATAATTTAATGATCCATTGATGAAGGCTTCCCACAAAGTTTAGAAGACGTCATTCAGCACCAGTTCCATTTCAGATAATATTTATTGTTTCTGGTTACCTGTCAAATTGAAGCAATAATCTGTAATTTGTGACAGCAGCTCTCAATAGCTGTGGTCAGCTTACAAAAAGGAGTCATTCTTGGAGCTGGCAGTTGAACAGCAGGGAGAAAATTATGTTTTCATATCTGAGAGTACAATCAGTCAAAAGTGATGAAGATCAAGGACTAATGGAAGCCAAAAAGTTTGTTTGAGAGAAAGCATGTGCCAAGTTTCTCCAGAGCATCTTTTACTCTGTTGCGGGAATCACAGAAGAGTCCAACATCTTGCCAATGAAAGAAATCCGCAATTCAAGGTTATCTGGCAAATGGCCACCCAAACTCCATTGAGAGACAGTCTACCACCTTCTGAGCTAATCCTCCGTTGGGACCACTCTTACTCTCATGACGTTCTTCCTACTATTTCACTGAAATCTACTTCCTTGTAGTTTAAATCCACTTCTTCCAGGCCTACACGCCGGAGCCATAGAATAAATACAAAGTTACTCTACTTTCCATACAACAGTTCTTCAAATATTTGAAGATGGTTATCATATAATTTCACAAAATTTTCTGCTCTAATGCTAAAATATTTTATTCTCTCAGCCATTCTTTACAGGGCTTGATTCCATTTATCATTTTGATCACCCTCTTCTGGACATGTTCCAGCTTGCCAATATCTTTCTTAAAGGGTGTGCCCAGAATTAGATATAGTATCCTAAGTAGAAGAGAGTGGTACCACCAATGACCTGGATCCTGTACTTCTGTTCATACAGCCTAGAATTTTACATTTGCTTTATTTAGTGATGCATCACTTGGTTGATTCATGTATAGCTTGTGGTCTACGAAGACTTTAGGCAAGTGTCCTGCTGGCTGTCTCTCAAGCAGAAAATCCTGACTACACAGTAATGTAGGACAGTGCTGCTTATGTAATCATTGCAGTTGTGCAAGTGGAAGGCAGTTATTCTTTTGGAGATCACTGTTTGTGCAATGGCAAGTGCAAGTAGTGCTTTCCATTTAGTGGAAACTCAATAAATATTAGCCCTTGATGCTTTCCATACTACTGTCAAACCAAGTGTCACCCATTTTATATCCTGCATTTGATTTTCCCGAACATTTTATTTATCTTTGTTGAAACTCTTTTGTTTTGGCCTAGTTACCAAACTTAAGTCATCTTGACTCCTGATTCTGTCTTCACAAGTATTAGCCACCACTCCTAGCTGGCTGTCATCTGAAAATCTGATGAATCTTAGCTTATCCAGATGTACCTTAGGCAGCCCCCTCCTTTTTTTAGATACTAAAGAATTTGAGGAGAACAATCCAAAAAGCAGAAATAGAGTTACAGTTTAGTCATCTCATGTGGTAAGGTTTTCTCACATAAGCCTAGTGACATCTCTTGGCAGCATAAGCCAGAAGACAGTAGGGGTTGCATTTATCAAGCAATTATAACATTGCTTCAAATCTGTTTTTTATTAACCTGGTTAGGTTTTTAGGCATGCACAAAAAGAATCATGTTAAGTTGCCACAGCTAACTGACATGGTGCCAGGCACATGCCAATTACATACCCAGCACACATCAGACACCCTGTCAAATAATCATGTTAACTTACATGTTTCTTCTTGCACATGTGTTATTTCTGACCAAAATAAAGACTATAGCAACAGATCCACACAAAGTAAATCTAATATGGCATAAACCAGTCTATATTAAACATACAGATGAAGAACTGTATCTCCCTATATGCGCCTTCTCGGCAATTAAGATCAGCAGTGGAGGCCCTCCCCTTGGTCCCATTGCCAGCACAAGCACAGCTGATGGGGACACAGGAGAGGGCCTTCTCTGTGGCAGCTCCCAAACTGCTGCTGCTGCTGCTGCTACTGCTACTGCTGCTGCTGCTGCTGCTGCTGCTGCTGCTACTGCTACTGCTGCTGCTGCTGCTGCTGCTGCTGCTGCTACTGCTACTGCTGCTGCTGCTGCTGCTGCTGCTGCTGCTACTGCTACTGCTGCTGCTGCTGCTGCTGCTGCTGCTGCTACTGCTACTGCTGCTGCTGCTGCTGCTGCTGCTGCTGCTACTGCTACT